GGATATCTCCACATGCTTCAACTATGTTTCACTGTAAAAACATTTAGAACAAGAAATACTTTTATCATAAAGAGTCTGACACCATGAAAGGGCTGACCCTTACTACCTTACATTGATCCAACTAGCTGCAGTATTTTTCAGTTTGTGTTTATTTAACTCATCAGTACAAAATCTGTTACTCAGTGACTGGGAGAAGTCATAGGTAAGAAGTCATAGGTAAGAGGAAAAGGCTACTTCTTGCATTTATTTTTGGCAAAAAGTGTCCTATATCTTTAAAAAGCTTTTGTCAAGAGTTTAAAAATGTTCTTTTTTTCTAATAAGTTTTTTACAATCGTCGACTTACAGGTATTAACTTACTTCAGTTAAAAAGTATCTAGAGATAAATACTAAATTAGGGATCAGATATGAAGGTTTTATTAACTCAGTGCCTGAAAGAGACACATGTGGTCCTGGGAGTGCTGGTGCCACAATAGGAYTTCAGAGAGTGAAGGAAACAGCAGGGACCAGAGCTGGGAGAGCTGGCAAAGATACCTTACAGCACTAAAGGTAGTCAGCAGGCCATGCCAAAGAAAAAGACATTTCTCAAACTCAATCTCTTCCTCTATTTGGGACCTGCTAGCAAAGTCATCCATGATCAATTCATAGGCTGTTAATGCTTTTGCACCTTAGATGAAATTCAAGTTCCCTGTGCTGTCCATGTATTTGTGTCAATGACTGCTTCTACACAAAGATCCAGCTCAGAGGTTCTGGACTGCAGTCTGGAACCTGAACTCACAGTAACCAGCAGCTCTCAAGGTTGCRTCATCCAAATTCACTATTTTTAGGCTTGCATAAGGCAGAAAAGTCATCAGGACAAAGGCGCACAACATGACACAGGTACTAATAAAGGAATTCTCAGGCAGGACATCAGGGATTTCTCTTGACCCTCATCCCTGACATAAGTTGAGACTATTCAGGCTGAAATCACCAATCAGTGTCTTCTCTGTCTTACATTCCAGCCCTGAGTCTAACCTTCCTGTCTCTCCTGACACTGACTGGGTTGTAACCTCTCCATCTGCCCACAGCCCTGACAGAAACCACACATGGAGGGACTGGGGTTATGAATGTGTCCACTAGAAACAGAATGTCTCTAACATTTCCTATACATCCAAATTTCTCTCCATCAGCTCCTTCTCCACCATGTACGAACACATTGTCTGTCATAGCTCGGTACAGAAAAAGGGATTTGTGCTGCAACACTCAAACTCCTGTTTTATGCAGCAGTTTTATGTGCTTGTTCCACTATTCTGRAGTTACTGCCTCTTTCTTATCCTCTTTTTCTTRACCTTTCCTCTTCTTGATGGTGTGCCAGTGCACCTTGTCATTCAAATAGCATAAATCTTCAGATCGATAACATACCAGGCTTCTTAGCTGTTTTTGGTAAAAGAAAGAATTATCCTGGTCAGACAGCATTGGAGCAAATCAGTGCCCATTCTGGGATTCACAGGAAAGGGCACTGCCTCACTGAATGACTACAGCTATTATTCGTAATTGTTTTTCAAGAACTCTCACATTAACGTCGTATCATGGCAAGCAATCTAATGTCCTCTCAGGATGATCATTCCAACAATAAAAAGATACATAAAACAAATTTGCCAAAATGCAGTCATGCACGTCCTGAAATGAAGTATCAATCTATGGAATTGCTCTGAAAGGAGATAAYTGACTAATATCCTTGACAGTGGGTTCCCAGTGCTCCTAGAGTTGTRTGAGAGCCTATCACAGCCCCAAATGTCTTCTTCATGAAGGTCGACTGCACCATAGTGCATTTATGACCAGTCATTTTTTGTGTGGTTTCCAGATAAGCATTTGAACAGACCAGGCATTTTTTCCTCAATTGGCTATTCTCAGCTTAAAAAATTGTTTTCGAGATCTTGAGCAATAACACAGCCCTTGGGAGAAAAGCCTTCCTGCATTAGCCATCTGACTGACACCGTGAATGATTACATTCAAGCATCAAATTTAACGAGATTTCTGCAAAAATGAGTGACATCTGCATAGCACTCATGTCCCAGCTAACTGTCATACGTTTGTCATCACTGAGGCTTTTGTCCTTTATTAATCTACGTTCAAGAATGCCTGCTGTTGGAAATTGAAATGCTTTTTACCATTCACCCTGCAGACTATAAGAGCACACATCTCCGAAAGCATAATGACACATTGTCATGCCTAGGAATGCATTTAAAATATTAAAAAAACATGAGAGAAGTCTGACAACAAAATATATTGAGAATTTAGCAGGGGATGTCTGTATAAATATATTTCACACCCTTTAATTTTAGYAAGATGCATGTTCTTTTGTTAAAATATATTGCCTAGAAACTATTTAACAATATTCAGAGTGCATGGGATAAATATTATCATAAAGGAAATRTACTAAAGTATTTCCCTTTAATTTTGTTTGTGCTTGGGACCATTACATAATTCTGGGCCTAGGGCTCCAACCCAGTAAAAGTATGATTGTATCGAAATCCAGCTTTCCTCTAAACTTTCCCTCATGGCTACAAATAAAAATTTCACTAATATTTTCCTACATCAACAGATAGCCTGAAACAGTAGAGGATGGAGATTGAAGAATCATCCTATTTTATTAAATTAGCCCCAGGACTTTCTATTCTGAGACAAAGATCTGACCTGGTGCTTCCCAGCAAAGAACAGCAAGTATTTGGCAGGAAGGGAGGAGTGCAGAGCATACATTTTTCTGCCATGTTTTCTCCAAGGAAGAAAAGCACGACATTTCCACTGCAAATGAAATGGGACTCCAGAAGGCCAAGAGCTGCAAGGTGTCCACTGGGTGACCCCATCTTATTCTAGTCATTATTTGWGACTTAATGAAAGGCACTGAGAGAAGCAAGATCAAGCCTGAAGAACCARCAGAGCAAGGAAAGAGGAGAAATTCCCAGCAATTAAGCCCATGCAAGTGGAAAACCTCATTCCTTTTTCTTCATATGCCCCAGAGCCATACCTGGGGCTCCTGTTAAGACCGCAGTGTGTTGTGAGGACAATATACTTCCCTCACAAATCCAGAGTATCTAACTTGACTGAACTGAACCTCTAGAATTTCAAACACTTATTTCTCTTTCTTGTTGTTATTATTTCCAAATGCCCTATATCTCCAACACTTTAATGTCAATTAGTTGCCTGTAGATCATTGCCAAGCAAATAGAGGCAAGTGAATACCACAATTTACTTTCTCATCTATAGGATTCRATGTTTCTTCCACTCTGAAGATATTAAAAGCCTAACTATTACAGAATTCTGATCCTTGTGCTGTCATAGTTTATGTAACCATGTTTTTGTTGAAGGCATATCAGAGGAARCATAAAGCTGTTTGCAGCTGCAAATGACAAAAAAATCACAGCCTTTGATGTTCAGATAAATTTGTTTCCATTCTTGGACTAAGAAATCTAGCCAGTAAAAGATTTGATTGCATGAAATAACACTCAAATGTAAAAAGGCTGAACTCAGCAGTGCAGAAATATTGGCTGCAACTTCTCCTGCAAATGGAGGCGCCAGACCCCTGTGTTTGCCACCTTGRTCTGCAGGTGCTGAGCAAGTGGGACCACACCACTCACCAGAGCTCAGAGGAATGGAGGTTTTCAAAGGTCCTACTCCATTGTAGCTCAGGCTCTCTCAAAAGTGTACCAGCAATGGCTTTCTATTAATGAAGTTTTCTTCATCATCATCCTTTGTGCAGTTCCATTTTGAGAGAAAGCGTCCATTAGCGCTTTTCTGACTTTACAGTCCATCTGGATAAGAGCAGAAGCAAAACATCAGCCCTCAGTAGCAAGAGGACGGAGAACAATTAAAAGGGCATTGGGTGCCAAAAAGTACAGATTAAGCATAAATAATTGTAGCTATTAGTAACATGGATATTTTAYGAAAGTATTAAGTTCTGTCCTTCAGGACTTATATAAGCTTTTAAGTATAAGAAACCACAGGAAAGGGTTTTGTTTTGCATTTGCACATGACAGACACTCCTTTTCCCCAAAACATCTGGTTAAAAACAACTAWGGAAAAGGATTCTGAACCAGGACAAACTTGTCTCCCATTAAGTTTGGCAGGTGCAAATGGACAATGTTTTCAAACACCAATTATCAAGCGGAATTAAATAAGAAAATTATGGATGGGAGTGGGATGTTATARCCACATTTTTCTTTGCAAAATCATGTTTGTCACCAGAGACTTCTCTTATTGCAGCAGCCACATGAGCTATACAAATGATGATTAGCTTATTCTCAATTAGAGCAGCTAAATGAAAAAAAAAAAAAAAATCCTTTACTTTTCAAATTAAAAAGTTTTCATGGGGTTTTTGTTTTTATTGGTACAATGGTTATTGTCAGGTCTAAAACATTTGGGTTTGGGTTTTTATTTTYGTTTTAGTGGCTTTCAGTCAAACAGTTAATGGACTTCCAGCAAGAATTCAGGTGGTTTCCCTGAATGAGTGAATTTGAGGAAAAGGATGAATGCTCTGTTCTTGATTCAGTTGTTAATAATATTCTTGTCCTTCATGAAGAACATTACCCTGTGCTTCATTTTGCTTACTGTCTGTCTTTCCTCCTGACAAGTCTCACACAAAGAGAAGATGTGATTGTGACTGTTCAGTCTAGCCTGGATGCTTCTTAAAGTTCCTCTTTTTTCCCCCTCTAATTTCAGGTTCAGAACAATTATAATGGAGTTTTSGGGGTGTTTTGTAATCTGTKTTTATTTCTAGTTCTGCTGTCACTCTGASAAGTCAATTGATCTTCACTCAYGCAGCCTCTAAAGAATAGCAGCAATCACAGTTTACCATCAGAAATCGTGGAAATGAGGTATCTCCATGATGCAGTGCTGTGTATCTCAGCCCTCGTATTTCATGGATATTGAACTCCACTGGGTCCCTACAGAATGCATCTCCTGTATTATTGCTGCACATCCACGATGATGGTGTAGTCTGTTTGATTATTCCACTTTATTTCTAGGTCCTCCTGGTCCCCCAGGGGTTGTAATAGTGGAGGAAATTACAGACACAACAGCAACACTCTCCTGGAGTCCTGGGGCAGACAATCACAGCCCTATCTCCCTCTACAACCTGCAAGCACGCAGTCCATTTTCTCTTGGCTGGCAGACCGTAAAAACAGGTGAGAAAAACTTTCAAACAGCACAAGTAGACTGTTCAAAACTCCTGATCATAACAATAATAACCACTGGCAACTACAGGAACAGATACCCATAAGAAAACAAAGATAAATTAAAAGCACTGATTTTTTTTTTCTTTTTTTCATTCCTTTTGTGTTACTTAGCAACAGCTCTGAAAGGACAGCACAAAGATACCTGCCAGGATGCATCTGTGAATAAGCAGAAAGCTCTCCCCAAATGCTTCAAACTGTGTCTTTTCAGGAATACTACAGTGCCAAAAACCTAGCTGCGATTTCGGACATGTTAGATCCTGGTGCCCATCATTTCTAATGACCATGTTGTATCACAAAACCCRCTTTCTATTGAGATGCTGCACGTCAGATTCAGATTTCTGAGTGACCTGTACATTTCTTTCATTGCAGTTCCAGACCTGATAAGCGGTGACATGGAGTCTGCTATGGCTGTGGAGTTGAATCCTTGGGTGGAGTACGAGTTCAGAGTAGTAGCAACCAATAAAATTGGGACTGGTGACCCAAGTGCACCATCACGAGTGATCAGAACCAATGAAGCAGGTAAGGAGAGGATGCATAGTTTATTTTTACAACACTACCAGAAACAAGAAATGCTTTAATATAATAATAGAGCCTAATCTCTCTTCATCTGTGTGTCCCATCGTCACTGTTCCAGGATGATWTTCTTTGGAATGGTAAGCCAGTTTGTTTTAATTAGAGAAATATTGTTCAATTTACAGAAATTTAGAATAAAACTATCTCCTGTCCTCCTACTCCATCTGGGCTGCCTTATTTTTCATCTTACACTTAAGCCATTACTGCATTTCCTCTGATAGGCTKCTGCTGCTCTTGAATTTTAGGCTGCTTTGCAGTCTTTCAAACAACTGTTCCTAAGCAGCCTCTTCCCMAATATTTATCATAACTTCTCTCATTGATGGTGCACAGAATTTTTCAACAAGATAGGGAAGCCATAAAAAGCTGCTTAATGTAAAATACCTTGTGTTCAAAGTGTTTCTTTGTCATGCCCACTCTACTGTGAACAGTTACTACTACTACATTTTGATAAATTTCATTGTATTTCTGATTARGATACTGCTGTGACAGACAAAAAAAAATCCTATCTGGGTCTCTTAAAAGTTACAAAGATTTGGAATCATTGACAATAACTTGGGCAGAATGAAGGGAGATAAAGAAGAATAGGGAATCTGAGAAAWATACCTGGGAACTTAGAAAGAAAGACATGTTTTAAGAAGCAAAAAAKATAGAGATAGGATTTGAACAAATCTTCAGAAGAGAACTACATGTCAGAACACTTTCAGATTATTCTTCATTCTTCTTTGTTATTTAGGATTTATTTTGTGTTTTGACRTTTCATATCAGTTGGATAATTTTAAAGTAACTTATTGCACCAGCACAAAGACCTGTCTGCCTCCTCAGTGACCTCCCCACAGGCACTGGGAGCTGCTCTGAGGTTCCTTCAAGGCCGTCTCTGCTCCAGGCTSAACAAGCCCAGCCTCCCCAGCATCTCCTCACAGGGCAAATGCTCCAGCCCCACCTCACCCCAGGGTTCTCCTCTGAACTTGTATAAGTTGATCAATTACTYTTATACTTTGGCATCCAAAATTGGATGCTCTATTTCAGATAAAGTCTAACAAACCTATCTGCAGTTGTAATAAGACATATTTATTCTTTTCTGCTTTACATAACTGTGTAGTTGTTAGCTGATATTAAATTTCATTGTACAGTCACAGAAGAGCACTGAAGTGATTTGATTCCCATTCATGCCTGTTGAAAGATGCTYCCTTTCAAATTTTCCCCCTCACCTTCTTCAAGCTCCCCATAGTGTGAAACCTAGAAACTWGATAGAAGAGCTTGAGATGCTCCATGCCTTGTTCCATTAAGAAAAGAAGGAAATGAAAATGAATAAAAAGCACAAGGTATTTTAATTTCAAATTATTTAAACAAAACCCCTCATTTATTTCACTGTCATTATTCTTTCCTTAATTTTGTATCATATTTCATTGGCTGTGCAAATTCTGCTGGATCTTAATGTTTGAACAACTTCTCTAATTATTCAGATGATACATATCAGAGAGGACAAAAACATTCTGGAAAAGATTTATCCTATAATAGGTTGCACCCCTGGTATTATGCTCTTTCAGACTAAGGAAKGTTTTCCCTGTTTTTGCAAGAATGGTTCAATATTTTAATCAACCAGGTGTAGTTAAACTGTAAGCTAAAGTTTTTCTGACAAACTGAAGTTTGAAAATGTTAGATTTCATTCAGCTGTCATGTTCTTGTCCAATGTTTAACAAAACAAGCTTGTAWTTGCTAAAATATATTCTTTTAACTCTAGTGAAATTCTTCTTCATGCATGTTCATTGTCAACATTCCTTTGTGACCTCTGTAAAAATGAATTTATAAATGATAATATTAACTAGTAAAAACAAAATTGCAGGAAAGTCAAAGCATGCAGTATGCAATGAATTTTCATCTGGTGTTTGGTATTCATTCGGGGGTAACATTATCTTATTGTCATCAGAAAGAACAGAGCCTTTAACTTAAGAAACAGTGATCTGAACATGGGGCTTCTCCTGAAAAACAACACTGTAACTAAAAATAATGCAGGTCTTCTTGAATAAYAAATCAGTAATGTATTAGTTCAAGTAGGGAAAAGGCCATAATAGATGCTTACTTGCACTTTCATATTCCAAGAATATCTTTTTTTTTTGCTCCCAGCTATGGCTGTGTAAATGTCATGTTAGAAAAGAGTGGTTTGTAGTATGTCATTGAAATTCAGACAGGTGCCAGTAAAACAACTGAACAGCTTTCAAAGAAATAGAAGCTTAGAAGCTGAATTTATTCGGTGAGCCTGCCTAATAGGGCATGGCACAGCAGAAGTCTGGTTCTATCAGCCCAATTTCAAAAGACCWTTCTTTAAGAAAAGGTTTGGTTTCTATTTCAGTTACAAATGGTTTGGGGTTTTGGGGTGGGATGTTAATAAAAAAAGATGGATGCAGCCTCCTTTTTTTATTCTATAGAGACAGTGAGAAAAGTTAAAACAAGAAATAACTTCCCAAACTGTTAGAGTCTGAGTAGAATTGTTAAGTTTAAGCATTAACATAATAGACTCTGCTTTAAACAAAGAACCAAATAAATAAAAAAACCCCCTAACTGTTATACATTTAATTATTTGAAAAATAGCCTACTGTTCATAATATATATGGCACTCTTAAAATGTCAGAGGCTTCATGATCTGCTTCATTCAGGCAATCAGTTTGTCCTGAACTTCAGATATTCCTGAAGTTCAAAGCCTGTTACCTCTCTATTCTGAAATGCCTTTCACTGATTTGGGGAATTATCACCTTTGGTATAGTTTTCAGATGCCAAATATACAGGAAAATAGTTTTCATTGGCTTACAGTTGTTTTCATTTGTGTTTTCAAATTAACATATCAATGTCTGTCTTAGTGTATCCAGTGATCCATTATTTTTCACAATGTCTCTATTACTAATTTTTTTTATCTGAAAGCTGCAAGGGAAACTGTCTACTAGAATGATGCTCAGCTCTAATATCATAGTTCTCAATTCTTAAAGGGAATTTATTTGAAAGAACATCATATTTCAAAAAAGACATGGCATGAGCCTCTCTCTTCACGACTCAGGCACAATAACCTGGCTATTTGCACTGATGGTAGATGTGGCCATGAAGGGCAAACAGACAGGTTGTCCCTGCACTGGATGAAAATCCAGAAATATCCATCTCCCAGCTGAGAAAGTGACTGTGACTTGTGACCAGATAAGAGCTGAGACCCATCAGGCTAAATGGTTGCTGTGTAGGCAACCCACAGAGGTAGCAAATGTGTGATCCTGGTTCCATTACTTTACACTCAAATGGAAATCTGCATCTGTAATTTAATGGCACCAGAAAATTTGACTGGGAGACTAAAGTCTTTTTTAWCCCCACACCTCACTTATTGTATCACTTCTTACCCAAGATGGTAACAACMTCTTTTATTAGTCCATTATCTAAAAATACCTATGAAACCAACAATGCAGATGGTGTAAGAAAATCAACAGAATAATAAACAGGTTTCCACTAGCTTTAATTTTTTAATTAAACTCTAATCTTGTTACTTATCTCATATTTAGTTAACATGATTGCTTTTCAATGCTACTTTCATTGGAACAGATAATACCACAATTTTCTGGCACATCTAACTTACAGCCAGCTGCTGCATTTCTGCCTTGATACATATTTTACAGGTCCACAAGGTGCAAAGAGACAATAACATGAATTTAGACATGTCTGGYATTCCACTAAGACAGTCGGGGCATTTGAAGCCTGGGGGCAGAGCATCAATTACATTATCTATTCATGGGGAAACATGGAGTGAGAGAAATTGAGTAGAATCAAAGTTTAACCTGCTAATCATGCATGCCGACTTGGTTTTAGGAGGTAACAATGTAATGCACTCTATTAGTAACAGATTGTACACTGGCTTTATTTTTAATAAGTCGTTATGTTCCATTAAGTTGCCCTTATTCTCAGATAGAACTCCTTCACAGCGGAGCAAGAAATGTCTCTGTCCCAGGAAAAAAGTTACTCATTTTAGACTGGCTTTATTTTCAGAGTTTTTTCTTATTGTGCGTACTGTTTTATTTGTTATTTGCATAAAAGAAGTTCAATTTTTTCCCATTATCATAACTATTTTTGCACTAGAAGTTGTATCAATTGTATAATTTTTTCTCTAACTTTCCTTTATCTGACAAAAGTTTCAGAATTTATGCAAAAAATATCCATCTGGAAAATATCTTTAAAAATACAAGATCCAAGCAGAGTCAGAAAGACCTTGTGAATAAAGTGTAGAATTAGGATTTGGGAAATCTGGGCTCAATTGCTTATCAGAAAACTAGAAATTTGAGCAGCTCAGTTTAGCATCTCTTAACCGAAAAACAGGAAGTCTGTAAGACTCTWACTTCTYTTTGYCYTCCCTTTATCTYATMTATTCCCCATTGAAGGATAGGGACTAAAKAATGTTTAATGTATATAATGTAATYATAAYRTAATATTGTAATAATGTAATCTATTATACTCAAWTGCAATCAAATATAATTATGGCTGCTAAATACTGCTGTACTGCCCAAAAATTAAGACAGGCTACAAAATAAGGAATCTGTATTTTCTCTTTGTAATAAACAAAACACACAAAATTGAAATAAGCCACTAGATATTTCCTTGGGAAAAAAAAGGCAAACAAACCAAAATGCAAACTGGAAATACTTTTAAATTATTATTAATCCATTAAATAATCTTAAAAAAATTATTTATAAAGAAGAAATGTTATAAAGAGCATGAACTGGCTTAAAATTACTTTCAGCTTTCCAGGTTCAGTGTGATATTTTCCTTTCCATTAGGAAAGGAATCTGAAACTAGTTTAAAACTATTTTTTTGATCACTCACTGACATAAAAACATGGAGTGTAAAACTGCTTTTAAACTAAATGTTTACTTATTTTTTATAGCAAATTAGAAGCAAAATAATAATTTTTGATTAGAATTAAAAATATGTCAGCTCAAGCTAAAATACTCTCATTTGTCTTTCCAGTTTTAATTTTTCTATTTTTAAAAACTGAAGCAAAACACAAATTATATATATATTTTTAAAATCAAGTTGCTATGCTTCAATTTTTAGAATGTAAAAATAAAATATTTAATAAGTGTTAATATTTTGCCCAAAATTGAATACAAAAAATCTTTTAATCAACTCTTTACAGTCCACAACTTTTATTTTAAAAATAAACGTAAACTAAAGAAAACACAGAAGATCTATCAGCCATGCAGACTGAAGAGAATGGAATTTTTAAAATCAGATTAAACCACCCTAAAGCACAGAGCAGTTTTCAAATTTTTGGACACAATGGACGTGTGAAAGGAAAGTGAACATCTACCCCATATATTTGTGGTTTCATAGCTATGGTATTACCCACTATTTCAAAAGCTTCCCCATTTAAATATTTTGCATTTAAATATAGGTTTAAAATATATAGGTGACACTGTTGGCATTTCTCAGCACTTTATAACCACCTTTCCCATATATAAAACTTTCAGCAACAGCAGCTCTGTGCATATATTTTGTCCTACATTAAAACCCATTGTTTTTCATCCATATTTAGCTTGTAATGCTAAGAGACACATGAATTATTAAACAATTGGCCATGGCTTCGTGCATTAGCTTTATCCCCCTGTATCACCTTTTCTTCATTTCTATCTTAAGTATCTTGTCACAGGATTTGTAGGTCTGCTGAGGGCTACATTCTCTGTGCCTGCTCTTAGAGAAAATGTTAATGGGTTTTTTATTTGGTTTAGAGGAGATAAGTTTTAATAGAGTTTAATTTGACTTTCATTTCCAGCATATCACAGTAATTTCATGAAAATGGAAAACAGTTAGAAAAAAATCCTACTGTTTGCATTCAAGTCAAACTCCTGGCACATTCATTTCAATATTTCTGTTTGTTTGCATTAAGTGCAGGTTTCAACATCGGTTTGTGCCATCATCCAGCCTTTYTTTACTGTGAATTGCAGTTAGTCACCACCTCTTTCAGAACACACTTTTTAGTGTGAATAGAATAACACTATTTGTTATTCACTTTACCAGAATGATGGAGAGGCCTGCCTTTTAACTTCCAACCTCAGCAGTGGCTGAAAAAAGTAAAAAAGAAAGAAGAGGTGATTTGATCCAAAAGACCTCACAGACTAAGGAAAAAACAGGAGACAAGTGAGAACAAGTAACGAAGGGGCTAATGAGWAGGAGTTGATCAGAATTAGACATTTGATCAAGCTGAGCATAGTCACATTTTATGAACCTAAAGRCTAGTTTTAAGCCAAGGAGTAATTCAGTTTCCAGTAGGTGACATTCTCTCATCTTGCTGTTAAATGAGACATKTTAAAACAGCAAAGATCTCTTACCTGGGGTGTATTTATTCAGTAGAAACAATTCTGTACTTCTCAGCTTTGATAAACCCCAGAGAAAAGAGGTCCTAATGTTCTTGTTCCCCAGGCACATGTACCCTGTTTCCAGGAGCCAAGTTTAGGCATCCTGTTTGTGTATTTGGTGCAAGTGCATCTCCATAAGTGCCACTGCTGAGAATTAACAGCATAAAGATTGGGAAGACATTAGTTGCATGGTGATAAACTTAGGCCAYGAGTGAGTAAATTCAGATATAACATTGATATAAAGGTGATGCTGCTGAAAGCGTGGCTGATGTACAGCCTTGGTGCCTGGCAAAAAAATGTTTTCTTTTAATAGTTTTCTTCACTTAATAGTTCCTCATTTCAAGCTGTCTCCCTCTAACTGTGTATACTCTGCTTTGCTGCTTTGCTGCAATGCAGAGGAAATTTATTCTTTTGACACATTTATTCTTTTAATGGTTATTCATTTGAAAGTGTTTCACTGTGTGAGTGTACATTTTAGTTTGGTGCAAGAGAAATTCATCGTTTTGACAGTTTTATTCTTTTAACGTTTATTCATTCAAATAGGGCCACAATCTGCAATGCTGTTAACAAGAAAACTCTAGAAGGACAATGCTGCAGGTTAAATAAGTCCATCATGTTGGATGCTTCAAAGGAGTGCAGCATACTCTCTCATTTCTAATGTGGCATGCACCTACATAAAAACTTCATTTGTCTCTATAATTTAACCAAAAATACCTTAGAACGGCAAGAGAAAAATGGGTACTAAACAAGATTTAATATGCCCCATTAGAGATGCCATCATAATTTTTGGATGTTAATTAACTGTCAGATGAGTCTTTTCATGCCAGAATATTCATCACAGTGTTGCACACGGATTGCATTCTTTCTATTCCTTTTCTAAAGCCAGAGGGAAATTCTGTTTCTGAAAGGAAAACTTTTTTACCCTTTTGCCATGTCAAAGAGAGGAAGGAAGGAAGGAAGGAAGGAAGGAAGGAAGGAAGGAAGGAAGGAAGGAAGGAAGGAAGGAAGGAAGGAAGGAAGGAAGGAAGGAA